GCAGTATCTCACTCACTCAACTCACGTCAGCTCACGTCACTCACTCAATCCACTCACTCACTTCACTCACTCACGTCCACGCACCATGGCCACTCACTCACGTCCACATCACTATCACTCACATCTCACTCCACTCACAGAATATCACTCACTCACTCACTCACTCAACGTCACTCACATCACATCACTCACCATCACTCACTCAACATCCACTGGACTGGGTGGGGCCAGGCTGGGCCGGGCGACCACTCGCACATCACTCACTCACTCACTGGGGGGGGGCTGGTAGCTCACTCACTCACTCACTCACTCCCCACTCACGGTCACTCAACTCACCCATCGATATTGCCCAGCAACTATGGAGTACAGATTCAGAACTCCCGAGCAATCACAGAGGAAGATTCATGCGGTCCCTTGCCACTATGGCACACGAGTACGACATGAACTAAGGTAGGTCCGCATAAATAAAACGTAAATTAAAGTACATAAGCTATGACACGTGAAGTAACACAAGCACACGTGTGACCTATAGAGATTAACAGACTGTCCTTACTGACAACAGCTTTAATTAGCGACAGACCGATTATCCGTCCGTAAGTCGACATAGCTAAACGGGATTTCCTCGGCGTTAAATCAGAAATCAAGTGTATGGATTGAGAATCGCGACTCATGGGTTATCTTGGCGTTACGATATATGTAATTCTACACCAAGAATTTACTTTTACTAAAGGATCAATGTTTGTAACGGATCGGGAGCGGTTCGGCGGTTCGACGCCGCTCGTTATACAAGAAAGAGTGCGGCGCTCGAAAACGGCTGGCCATCTTGTCGGGAGAAAAGACACCTCTACTTGGGCAGTGAGCAGGGCGTTAGGATCCAGTCGCTCTCGAATGAGAAGTTCCACCACAGCCCGACCATGGATAGGGCCACTAGATGTCGCTTCAGCCGATACCATCAAATCCTGTGAAGCGTGCGATAGAAATGGCGTACATAAAAGTATGGAGGTGTACGTACATGTACGAAAACCAAGTACGGGCTCACGATCACACCACCGCACACACACCGCGCTAGCGCGCGCGGAGCAACAACGCACACACACAAAGTTGCGCAAGGCGCGCACACACACACACACAGCACACACACACCACACACAGCCCAGATTCCACAGGCACACACACACCAGCACACTAGTATTCACCTAAACACACACACAGGCGTACGCACACGCCCCACCTTACGCGCGTAGCATGCAGGTGAGTGGCATGGTGATAGCGTGTGTGCTGTGTGTGTGTGTGTGTGTTGTGTGTGTGTGTGTTGTGTGTGGTGTCCGGTGTGTGGTGTGCTGTGTGTGTGTGTGTGTGTGTAGATGTGTCGTGTCGGTTGTGTGTGTGGGTGTGTTGTGTGTGTGTGTGTGTGTGTGTGTGTGTGTGTGTGTGTGTGTGCGTGCGTGTATGCGTCCGTGCGTGCGTGCGTGCGTGTGTGCGTGCGTGCGTGCGTGTGATAGTAACATACCTGCCAGGGTGCCGTGTTGCTATCTGCTAACGTGCCACCAACGATTAAGTTCTCTGTGCCTGTGTGAGAAAACAGTTAGCAGCTGCTCAATCAGGTCGTAACTCCTTGAATCGCCCATCACGTGTCTAGCAGACGGCCCGTGATGTTCGATACGTCACTGATATTGTGCTCCGTTATGACGCGTCACTGACACGGCGGTCACATGTGGTGACGTCACGGACCGCCGGATTAGCGACGTCGCTCACAGTAATTAATACCCGTAAATGCAACATCACTGAATGCGGTTTGTGAACTTATAACCGCATAAAGATTAATTGTCAAAGTCAACGGGACTTTACCAAAGAGAAAGAGAGAAAGAGAAAGAGAGAGGGGAGAGGGAGAGAGGAAGAGAGAGAGAGAGAGAGCCAGTGAGAGAGTGCGAGAGAGAGAGAGAGAAAGAGAGAGCGATCGAGAGACAGAGAAAAAGAGAAAGATCGAGATGGGGAGAGAGAGACAGAGAGAGAGAGAACATAATAGAAAGAAATGGTTAGTAGTTCGTCAGTCAGCTACGCTGCGAACCGATCTTAGAATGGTGCTAACGCTGAACGTATTCCCACATAGCAACGTCCAAATCATAATCAAATCCCTGCGATAAAGTGTCGAACACGTCGTGCCGCATACTAACTAATTTCATGCAATGGAATGGCAGCCAGACGGCATTCTACAAGTTACTACATGTAATGACAACGTTATTCGGTCGCCCATGACCTTGTGTGTTCCCAGTGTTCACGTGCACACCACGTGGACCGCGCGGCCATCTTGGTGGGCGTCTAACGGTAGTGCCGGATAGCGTGACGTCATTGTCCGACGTCGATAGACGGCGACGTGACATGGCGTCCACCGCGCATGCGCACAGCGCGAGTATTCCGACGGCTGTTACTTTCATTTTATATTTTATCTGTGAAAGATAACGTGGCGATGAGACGGTGATTGAGTACTAGCCAATCAAAAGAACCCACGGTTCAGATGATGCTTTTATAATCAATAGAGCAAAACGTGGTATCTGTTTCGGTGTGTGCGTGCACGGTCCATGCGTGCATGCGTTAGCGCGTGTGCGTGCGTACATGCGTGTGCCACTGTGTGCGCGCGTGCATGCGTGTGTCACTGTGTGCGCGCGTATACATGTGTATATATTATATATATGTGTGTATGTATCGAGAAATGTCCGACTAATGAAATGTTCCCAATGAAATAACGAAGCAATTGCTTGATTCACTTACCCCTATCGGTCGTCACCCTGTCCCTTGGAAATGCGACCCTGATGCTGCGTCGAGGCGTGTAAACGTAAACGTACATTACCGTCACCTTATATAGCATCGCCGCCGTCAATACAGGACAAAGCCGACCTTGAACTGACCACTATTATACTGACGAGTTAGCGTTCACTCAGCAAGCCCATTGTGTGGTCATCGTGTCACGTGTTAATGCCGTGCCTCGCCATTCACGACGCGTCCCTAGCAACGCACCTTTTACCCAGTCTGAGCTGTAGGCCTAATTAGAGTAAGTTGTATTAGCTCCACCCGTTATCACTGCCGGACGCTATTCTATAAGTACTGCGAGTGGGTTAACTGACAGCAAATAGCTGTACGTTTAAATGAGAAGAATAGCGGCGCAGCCAAGGTAACGTATTAATGTCTGTTCCGGGATTGTCGGGTATACGGACCACGCGTGGTCTGATTGTGCGCGCCCTCGCAGCTCAGCCCATGCTGTGTTGACCAACGTGGTTAGAAAGCCGAAAATACAAGCTGGGTTTAGCAGGCCCGTACTCGTTCCTTGTTTACTCTCTCGCTATGAATACAGAGATCTATGCTAATCAGGATGAAAGGCGCCGTTGTAGATGACGGTAAGTATAGAGAGAGAGCGCAGGTTAGAAGAGCGAGAGGACCCTGCCAGAGGATAAGCAACAACAAGAACACGATCTAGATTATGTCGTCATTGCAGAAAAAACAACGCACGAACACACGCGTACACGAGCGCACACACGCACGAGCACGCGCACGAGTGTGTGTGTGTGTGCGTGCGCGCATGTGTGTGTGCGTGGATGCGATTATTATTTACTAGAAAATTGTAGATGCTGCTAGATCTGGCAGCGACGCCGTATATCGAGTTCGGAGAAAAAGCGACAACGCAAAGTTGAGCTCGATCATGAAATCGTTAAAACACGCGATCGAAAAAGTTTCCACTCTCTCTCTCTCTCAAAAAAAAAAAAATTCCGCACACAGTTGTTGTGAACTATCATCAATCAATCAGATAGTTTATTCGCTTTTAACGAATCATGCAAACAATAGATATACATGTAGTAATACTAATAGTAATGTATACATAGATCTACACACATACAAGTAATGTGCAATACAGTAATATTGTACTCGAACGCGCGAGATTAACGTCCTCCTGATATAATACCCGCTGATTATCATACAATCGTGATATAATAGTGGAACAGTGCGTAACACATGACAGCACCAAAATAATAATACCCAACACGCTTCTAGAATGACACGGGTTCAGACCAGTGCCTTCACTGAAAATGTAGCAATTATTTGCAGGAACGAGGATTATAAAAAATATCTAATCAGTAGTATAAAAATATCTAACCAGTAGCATAAAAATATCTAACCAGTAGTATAAGAATTCCTGACCAGTAATATAAAATGTATATAATGAGTAGATAATATCTTGAGATCACACGATACACGACCTGTGAGTAGTTCCATCACAGGCAGCACCTAGTTGAAACCCCTACATACCCGTGAGATCCGGATCAAGCAATGCCAATAAGAATTAAGGCCCATGCATCCTACAACGGGCCGTCGCCAGCGTCTGTCACGTGACATGCGGTCCCGTCGCATCACGTGAGTGCGCTGACGTCCCGTGCGTGATGGCGTCACGGGCTTGCTGACGTCACGCCGCGTTGCCTAGTTGCTAGCAATCGTGTCGGTGATCCACGTGTTGAAGCTTGCCACACGTGTGTAGACTCCCGGATAGCTGGCTGAGCCGCAGCCATAGCCCCACGATACGACGCCACACAGCCTGCCACTACACTCCAGCGGTCCACCCGAGTCTCCCTGTATTATAAGAAAAACACGTAAACGTTTGCTAGCATAGAGTGAGTGAACGAGCGATGCATGGAAAGATAAACAATAGAAGGACTGAGCGAATATGATAGTAATCAGCATGTCTGTGTTACATGTCTGTCTACCCCTTACGCGCGCGCACACACACACACGCGCGCGCGCACGCACGCACGCACGCACGCACGCACGCACGCACGCACACGCACGCACGCACGCACGCACGCATGCACGCACACACACACACACACACACACTAGCGCGCGCTCTCTCTCTCGCTCTCTCTCTCACTCTCCTCTCTCTCTCTCTCTCTCTCTCCTCTC